ATCCGGTGTGTTCCTTGGCCTCTCTCCAAAAAGTGCAGTACATTGCTCTCTTCAAATATGTATTTTTTATTCATTTTTTCCTATAAACCAAACTCATGTACCCACCCAAAGGTTGCCAATTTCTGAAGAACTGAAATGCCATCAGTCTTTTATCATGAGTAGCAGCCACCGCTGCTAGACATAACATCCTGGTTTTACACTCAGCCATATTGTAGTTTATGCAGTTTGAGTTTTTAATGTATGTTATCTTAGGAATCACACTACAGTTTTTATGTTTCCTGTCTCAAAATGGAAGGAAACTGCATCATTCAGGACACACATACACATGTACACACACACACAGTCCCCCGCAAACCACATTAAGCCAACATGGGCATTCTCCAGATGTGTGGACTTCAATTCCCTGAATTCTGAACACTGGGCATATTGGCTGGGGAATTCTGGGAGTTGAAATCACTCATCTGGTTGGGGGAGGATGGCTTAGGGTACTGCATGTGGCCCTTTTGTAGTTTATTACTTTGTACAATGAACCCAGCCACTGTGATTTATTTATTTTTTTAAAAAAAATATGGTTAAGCAAATCATAAAGTAGCACAGTGTGTAAATTTAACCATTCTGTGGCATTTGGGGTTTTTTAATTGTCTTTGGCTTTTGAGGTAAGAAGAGAAAGGTGAACTTTCCAGCACATTGGGAGGGGGGGGGGTTAGGGGATTTCAGAAGCAAAATGAGTATGTTATATTCTCCAGAGACTTAGCGCACCTATTTAGCCCTGTCCTTTGCAAGCCAAAGGAGGAAGATACTGCATCTGGAAATGCGTGGCTCCAGTATGAACTGAGAGTGCTTGGGGGGCTACGTGCATGGGAAAAGGTAAGCTGCAGATTTCCCACACTTGCTGTAGACCAAAATAGCTGCAGGTGTTCTGGCTGACAAAACTTTACAAAGTCACCTGCAGCTATTTTATAATCAACAAGCAGAGGAGCTCACAGTTGAAATCAATAGGAGAGATTCCAGGGCAAGTTTCAGATGGTAAAGTTTCTTTCTGGCAGTTGAAGCCCCTTGGATACAGCTGTTGTCTGGTTGTATTCTCTGGTTCAAAGGAAGTACTGAGCTTGCCAGGATGGCAAATATAGCTTGTAGGCAACCCCAGTGGTAGCCCTAAACCAGCTGCCAGTACCTGGCACCCTAGGTGAAAACATGCAATCATTGTTCTCTTCAAATATGTATTTATTTATTTTTTCCTTTCAGGCTTTGGCACCCTACTTAACTTGGTGCCCTAGGTAATTGCTAGGTTCACTTATATGGGCTGGCCACCTCTGGTCAAGATATGAAAGTACTAAAGGTGGTTAAGCTGTCACCAATGTTGTTCTGACACTTGTTTGTTCTCAGGTAGACTTCTGTATGTTGTATGTTCTCAGCTTAGCTGGCTTTGGTCAGCTCTGATTGCAGGAGTCACATTACTGAGAAGCTAGAATCTCCAGAGTAGATGGTCCTATCCAAGGTGCCTCAGCAGGCAGTTCTGTGCTTCTCCATCACTCTGCCTTCTTGCATTTGACATAATACTGTACTAGCAATGCTTTCAGTCAAGACTCCAGATCAGGGCTTGAGACTGAAAGAGCAGTGGGCATGATTCTGTCTTGCCTTTGGTACTAGGACCTGATACTTCAGAGTCAGTTATGCCTGGTTTTCTAGATCTGTTCCTAGTCCTTTTCTTCTGATGAGGGTTCATATGTCAGGGATATGATAACAGAGCACTGTTTGTGAACATGCCTTACTGAAGCACACTCTAGAATTACAAAGCAAGAAATTAATAGAATTCATTGGTTTTTCTCTCCCCCACCCCACTTGGGTTCTTGTGATGCTGGCATCATTGGATATATTGAGAAACAATGGATGATGTAAAAACACATAGAAGCTTCATCAACGAGGGGATTTGAACCCAAAGATCTCTAGCCTTAGTCTGATACTCTAAGGCAGCCAACTAAAGCTGTGGCCTTCAGTTGTGTATTGGTGAGAGGTGATGGGAGTTGTAATTCAACATACCTGGAAAGGGTCAGGTTGAAAAAAGCGAATGAAAACTTAGTGAAAACTCTTCGGTGTAAATTGTTTCTACATTTCCCGGGTCAGAAGAAGAAGAAGCTCAAAAACATACTTTCTTTGATAAAAATGCTGGAAATGAGCATAAGAAGTTATGTGCAAATCAGTAAAAATCCAATAGATTTCACTGTCTCTGTTAGTGGGACAATATTCTGACATGTCTTTGATGATGATGATGATAAGAAAAATCTGTAAAAAGTTCCTTTTTTATGCAATTTTCCTAATAATATGAAGCTTTTCTACAAAACCCTCCACAATATACGTAGTTTGTAATATAAATTCCCCCTCCTTTATTTTAACGTAAATGTCTTTGATATTATTTTTAATATGGAGATTTCCTGATGCGAGTTATTTCAATGTAAATTTACCATCAGCAATTCATTTTCAAAATATACCTTCCTATCCTTGTGTACACTTTTCTGACATGTTTTTGTGGGCATCTTTCAGAAAGAAAGAGTGTTTGGGGGCAGGGTTTTGTCTGGAGATAAAAGGTCAGGGATAGACTTTGGTCAACGCTGTATTCCATGTTGCAGCAGATTCTGCTTTGGTGGAGTGCTGTGCTTCTTGCTAAAAGAAATTTGTAACATTTTTGATCGGAGTTCGTCCTCTCTTTCCCATCCAGTCCCCAAATGTTCTTGGATACAATTAGGAAGAAAAGACTCAGAATTAGGGATGCCAAATTCTCCAGTGAAAGTTGAGTTGCCCATTGTGTTGGAGCACCACAAAATCCAGATGCTGCTATTGCTAAGGAAGTTTTCAAAATTCAGAAAGAGGTAAATAAGACCATCATGGCTCACCTTTTAACTGTGACACATCTGGATGAGATAGAAACTCAGTGTGGTAATGATGAATAACCCTTAGCACAGCTGTCATGAGCTTGAAGAATCAACTCTGCTTTGCATTTTCCAACCCCGCCCCCTTTCACATTTGTGCATATCAGGCACAACTTTCACAGACATAGGCACTTCTCTGCAACACCTTTATTTCAGGAAATAATTTGAATGGAAAGGTACAACTTTCCACCAGCAAGCATTAATGCAAGAGCCATTTACATTATTCATTTGTGCTCTTTTATGAATTAAGGATCAGGCCATCAGGGACTGACAACCTCTTCAGGACACTGTCACGGTTATCCTATGTTATGCAAAGTTGCAAGTGCTCCCCCCATTTTTTAAAAAATTATATTTTCCTTTAAAAACCTTATGAGATCTCACACATTACTATTATGGGATCTCACAGATGTCACTAGGCCTGAGGAACTTGTGTTTCCACTCTACCCTCTATTCTATAAAGCAGTGTTTCTCAACCTCGGCAACTTTAAGATGCGTGGACTTCAACTCTCAGAATTCCCCAGCCAGCTTGCTGGCTAGGGAATTCTGGGAGTTGAAGTCCACGCAAGTTGCCGAGGTTGAGAAACACTGCTTTATAGAATAGAGGGTAGAGTGGAAACACAAGTTAGTCCACGTATCTTAAAGTTGCCGAGGTTGAGAAACACTGCTTTATAGAATAGAGGGTAGAGTGGAAACACAAGTTATGCGTGGACTTCAACTCTCAGAATTCCCCAGCCAGCTTGCTGGCTAGGGAATTCTGGGAGTTGAAGTCCACGCATCTTAAAGTTGCCGAGGTTGAGAAACACTGTTTTAAGTCAAAGATGGGGAGTCAAAGATGGCTCTCCAAATATGCAGAACTGCACTCCCACCAGTTCTATCCAGCATAGCCAACCATCAGCAATATTCCATACATCTGGATGATCACAGGGTCTCTACCCCTCATTAACTGAAAGTGTTTAAATCTGAAACTTTACCCATAGAAAGGGATTTTAAACATCTAATTGTTTGCAGTCTTTCCTTACACTTTCCCTATTGTTAAAAGTATATTTGGAAATAGTCACTTCATAGAATGATAGAAGGAAAGGGTTAGAAGACAACTTGCAAATCATTTAGTCCAACTCCCAGTACAAGGATAAATCCCTTCTCTAAATAGGGATGAATGTAACATCTGTAGATATCCTGAAAAGTTTGGGCCAGGAAATAGTTTACCTCCACTTTAGCAAATCTGGAGATCAGATTCTGGAATGTGCTCTGGTTATCGGAATATCTAAACATATTCTGTAATTACTCATTGGTAAGAAGCATGCAACCTGTTTAGGCACACTTGAATGCCATTATTTTCCTGTATTGTAAGAATTTGCATTGGAAACCAATAACCCATTTATACAGAACCATTTTCCCTTCCCACATATAGGCTGTGATCCTTAGAAGACTCCTGTCCTCACTTTTCATGGTTACTTGCCTTGAAAAGAAGACTCACTATCAACTGGCAATTGCACCCCTTACATATATGAGTTTGTCGTTGAATGTACATGAACAGGAGCAATTTGTAAAGTCTGCAATCTATAAAGCAGCCTTCAGAACTCTCAACATTCCAGATTTTGTACAGTAACAGCAAAGAGCCTAAAGGGCTTTCTGTAGACTCTCCTTTCTGATGTGATGGTTTCCCCTTTGCGAAACTTTGCATTTTCATTGTCTTTCTCGGGGTGCATTTCACATATAAAATTCCACCATGTTCAACTGCACCCTTGAGCAATGCTAGTCCTGTTTCTAAGACATACTTGAGTGTTCACTTGGGAACCGAAAGGGAAATACAAAACCACCTTTTGTAGGACAAGGTGTATCTGCAGGAAAGAGACAAATGGATGAATAGGTCACTGAGAAAAAAAGCAGAAGCTGGCTTTGATGTCAGAGATGATGAAAGCTCTGGGGAATGCAAGAAAAAGAAAAGGCCTTTGACATAACGCCCCCAAGTTGGGAATAAAAGCAGCCTGGAATGAGAGACAGCTCTTACTTTTTCAGCCTTTTTAGAACTTAGCAGAGCAGTAACTTGAGGTGGCTCCATTCCTTGGCAAGATGTCTACCATCATCAGGCACTACACTACCATGTCCTCCTCCTCTGTGAAGGGACCTGTAGGTTTTAGTGGGGAAAAGCTGGTCCATCTTGGTAGAGGTTGCCGAGCCTCAAGCAGTCATGGTGGGGCTAGTGGCATTTCTGGCGCCACTACTCACTGTGTCTCCGGGATTGGAAACACCCTTGGTGGTGGCTATGGGGGCATTAGCTACTGCAACAGCTTTACTGGTGGCCTGGGGGGAGGCCTTGGTGGGGGCTTTAGTGGAAGCTTTGGAGGAGGATTTACTGGTGGCTTTATGGGTAGAAGTGGAAGTGATATCCTTCTGGCCGGGGGTGAGAAGGAAACCATGCAGAACCTCAATGACCGCCTGGCTGCCTACCTGGACAAGGTGCGGGCATTGGAGGAAGCCAATACCAGCCTGGAGGTCAAGATCAAGGAGTGGTACCAGAAGCAGGAACCTGGTCCAGACTGTGACTACAGCCCCTATTTCAGGACAATTGAGGACCTGAGGAGCAAGGTATGGCAAGGACATTTCAAGGGGATCCATAAAGAAAAACATGTCAGTCCTCTGATTGTAGAAAGCCCACAGGCAAATTAATTGCTACATGAGGAGAGAGGGCCAATGCTTTTCTCATTAATCTCCATTTTTATTCCTTCCCATTCAGATTCATTCAGGACAAAGCATTCCTTTCCACTGTAGATGTTAAATGGCTAGTCTTTCTAGTGTAATATCATCAAATAGGTGTTATGAATGAGTCAATAGATTTGGACAAAGGTGGTCTTCGTGCAGAAAAGATATAGCCTGTTTATCCCACTGTTGTGTTATTCTGGTCTCTGTAAATCTGTGCAATGCAAAACTGTCTTCACTTATCCTAACGTATTATTGATTCAGTTTGTTTCTAGTCAACTCTGAGATGATTTATTTGAAATCTGCAAAAAATCTGCTTACATTTTTGTGTTTGTTTTCTCGTTCATAACATGCATACGTTTCCAATAAATTGTTTTGGATGTAATGCAATATTGTTCACACTTCCTCTTATATACAGTAAGTTTATTTGTGCCTGCTTTTTCTGGATATATACCCATTTTTGTGAACAGTTTGGGGACTTGCAAACTATCTTGTAAAGTCCAGAAATATGTACTGTAGATTTTCACAAAGCAGTGCATTTTGGGTTACATACACATTTGGTTTGTGTGTATATCATTGAAACATATATTGAAGTTTTCTCCCTCATTCCTACTCAATATGCTAATTCAGTAGTTAAGTTTTATTTCAGACTTTTAAAAATATTTCAGAAATTTCATAATCCTAGAAAAGCATAAAAAATAAACTTTGTTCATTATAGGGGAAGGTAGAAAAAAAATTATGTCTGAAGTCCAACTAAAAGTGGGACTGATGGAGTGAAGAGAAGAAAGAAGGTGGGCAAGGCATCAAGGGAGGGATAAAGAATATTTATGGGTAAATATAGGTATCTCACAGTGAACAAATCTTAGTTTGGGAGTGTGGGTCTTGATTATCCACTATAGACTGTAGTACAGGCAACTAAACGAGAGTTACTTATGCCCTGAAACAATCTGCTGATATGGAAAGCTAACTTTGATTGCTTTCGCATGATCCATTAAATTTTAAAACTTGAAATCTTTTAAGATGCTTTGTTACTCAGCTAGAAAATCTATGTGGCACCTTAATCCTCTAGCAACATTTCTTGAAAATACCTTGGCAAAGTGTTCAGTGGCCTTGCAGGGAAATGCAGTTTGGTGCAGGAAAAATTGGGCAAGTGCTTCTTCTCCCTGCCACTGCATACCCTTCTCCTGGATATTCAGCATTTATGCTACAGCAGAAAACTAAAAGCGTCTTGCATTTGGGTAAGGCATGTTATTAGTTTCTGTAGATTAGCAATTTGTAGGGTTCCATTAAAAAATATTATCATATTGGACAAGTGCTAAAGATTTCTCTACATTTAGCTCTGTTAATTCAGCTCCAGGCATCACAGTGTCTTGTCGTCTAAAGGGAAAGTCAACTCTGGGGACCAGGGAGGTGGAACAAAGGAGGGGTTTTCACAAATGGGGTGGCATCAATCTTGCAGCTCCAGAAGAAATGTTGTGAATTGCTTTCAAGGTGTTGCCTCTGAAGTAGCAAGTGAACCCAAAGCTAATAGCTTAGCTTGCTGATAAGACTTACACTAAGCCTATGATGTTGATTTTGGATGGTTATAACCACAATAGAAACTCTACTCTACTCAGCACTCTAAAGAGCTGAGAAGGATTGTAGCTACTCTGTGGTGAGGGACAGGTACTCTACATGCACAGATATTTCAAATGTGAAGGTATCCCTGCAGAAATGCTATCTGGGAGAAAAATATTTTTATTCTAATCAGCCATTTCTATGCTCTTTTCAGATTCTTTCTGCCACAGTTGAGAATGCCGGTGTCCTCTTACAGATTGATAATGCAAAGTTGACTGCTGATGATTTCAAAATCAAGTAAGTCTTTGGTGGTTTGCCATCAAGGCCATCACATCATGATGGGAACAGTGTGACACATATTGTCTTTCCCAACTTTTCCTTTTACTTATCCCTTCTGATTATAGGCTTGAGACAGAACAGGCATTGCGCAAGAATGTTGAATCTGACATCAATGGCTTGCGCAATGTTCTAGATGACCTAACCTCAACCAGAATTCACCTAGAAAAGGATCTTGAACTTCTCACTGAGGAGTTGCTTCACTTGAAGAAGAATCACGAAGAGGTAAGGGAATCCCATTGTCACCATCACATAGCACACACATTAATAAAATGGGGAGTGTGAGCTTGCAACTAGTTTATACTTTATGATAATCCAGCAAAGTATTTGGACCCGTTGCAAAGATTTCATGAATAGAACATACAGCAGATAGTGCCCCAATGAGAAGTTTGGGCCACAACTGTTGAACAGTCAAGTGCACACCGTCTTTGGATTTGTGATCTCATTTGCCAAACCACAGGCTTAGGCCTGATTCACACATGTACATGACACACTTGATTTGCCTGTGCTTGACTCTTGTTTACTTGATTGCAGCAACCCAAGTGTGTGTTCTGATGCCACTGAAGTGGACTGTGCTTCATTGTATTTTATCTGCATCACCTCATTCACAAGCAAGTTATCAAATATTGAACCTGCATGTGTGAATTGCATATAGATCCTAAATTTAAATAAGCAGTCCCACTATGAATTCAGTGGATGCATAGTTCAACTGTATGTTAAATGGAGAAGTATTTCTTTCAGTCTGTCCCAAATATCCTACCACCCAGCTTCATAAGATGACCCCAGGTTCTACTTTTTTTTTTTGAGAGAAGAAATACAGGTCTTCTGTCCAATTTTTCTAAACTGCAAACTGCTGTGCATGTCTAACATGTCCATGCTTGATGGCCATTAACTAACCCTAACCCTAACCCTAACATTACTTGCTAATACTGAGGTAAAATTTTCTTTGTTTTTATCTTGTTTGCCACCCAGAGTTTCTTGGATAGATGGGTGCCCAAGTAAATTGGATTAATAAATAAATTAAATAAAAAAATAAATACCATGCTGGATTGAAATTTAGAGGCACTCCATGCTAAGTAAAGTAACCAATATGACTACTTTTAGGAATAGATACCAATGTTTCCAACTGATATCATCCAGGACAACTGGAGTACTTTCCTTCTGTATTTCTCTAACAGGAAATGAGGCTTCTTCGAAGCCAGATGGGTGGAGAAATCACTGTGGAAATGGATGCTGCTCCTGGTGTGGACCTGACGAAGATCCTAGCAGAGATGCGTGAACAGTATGAGAACCTGGCAGAGAAGAACCGCAGAGATGCTGAGCAGTGGTTCTTCACCAAGGTAGGGACTTCCTTGGGATGAACATACTTTCTGGAAAGCAGGTTGACTCTTTTGATACATGCACCATGACATTTCAGTATCCCTTTCCTAACAGACCGAAGAGCTGAATCGCGAAGTTGCCATCAATACAGAGCAACTGCAGAGTGGCAAATCTGAAGTCATCGAACTGCGACGCACCCTCCAAGGCTTGGAGATAAACCTGCAGGCCCAGCTTAGCACGGTATAGGAATTGGACTGCCTTTGTTTTGCCCTCTCTATCTGCTAAATAAGAAGACTGTTGTAGAACATAGATTTCTGGTTTACGGAGAGCACAGAAACACCCTTCTTTCTTCCCAGAGGTGCTCCGTATTCCAGTGCTGAAAGCTGCCTTTTCTCTTGTGAATGAAACTGCTTTTTTTCTACTGCATTAGCACCCTGTTGAGCATTCAGCTGATTTTATTGCTGAAGGTGATACAGGGTTATACCCTAAAGTTGCTGCTCTCTGTTACACATCTTTTTGTTACTCCAAAGCCTTCCTGGCTTCCCAATCTAAACAAGCCTCAGGGGAGGAATTCCTTTATGACATATTCCCTAAGGATGCAGTCCTAGTGTGGGAATCCAGGGAAGCTGCGGCCAGCCCTATAAGGTAGATCAGACTAAGAAACTAATGCCATGTAGATCAGAACTACTTTTATTGTAACAGCTATGTGTCATGGGTTCTTCTTCTTCTTTTTTTCCAAACAGTACCCAGTTTTGATTTACACAGACTCAAAAGGACCAAAAAGCAGTGGACCCTAGATACCTGGGTTGTTATGTCTCCCTATAAGGGTTAGGGAGGTTTTTTATTTACAACACTATCCAAGATATAGAAATGATATATACCAACATATGTGTGTGAGTTCTTTCTATAACTATTATCTTAGCTATTTACTAAACAATTTTCTCTGCACTATGTTCTACTGTTGCTATTACTATACACTATACTATTACTTCTACTACTAAGCTATAGTCCACCACTACTGTTACTAGTATATTGTTTCTGTTGCTCCTTTACTACTACTATTAGTAGTATGCAACAGTGTCGTGCTCTTACAGATCCAAGTCTCTCTCTCTCCCTCTGGGATTTCTCCTCCTCATCCTCCTCCTCCTCCTCCTCCTTCTTCTCCTTCTCCTCCTCAGCTTGTAGACCTCTTGCATCTTTTTTTTCATCGTGCTTTGTCTTGCTTGGTTGCTATACGTCCTTTCCTCTCGTTTGGGCCTTCAG